AAATGCACTTTTAAGGGGCTCCTCTTTTGGTGAAAGTTTTCAGACAGCTTTCAAAATGGCCACCAGACAGTGTGAACACATAGATACCCATATCTCAGTGTGCAATGGTCTGATTTGCTTGAAATTACAGGAGGTATGTAGTAACAATTGGTTAAGACATCAAGTAGGATAAAACATTATTTTTTTCTTATTAAAATCTGATCTGAAATATGGAAGTGTGCTTAATGGGTACTTGAGCTTAATAGGTACGTTTACCCTATATAACCAAAATAATTTATATCGAATTGAATCGGAATGGACTGCAAGCTACTGAATCGAAATCAAATTGAATCGTGATTTTGTGTCAATACCCAGCCCTAATAATAATGCTATGTAAACATTGATACAAAATCCCATGTTACAGAAATCTGTTTACATGTTTTCATCTGATTGTAGAGTTTAAACATTTAGAATTGTGTCGAATCTTTTTAGATTGGCGAAATTCTTCTGTATTTGAAACATGATACTCTATATTTTATTGTCTGCAGTGAATCTATGCTGCACTGTACTGTTGTAATCTTCTAATTAGCAGCTCTTCAGAATAAATCCGCAGAGACCAGTAATTAGGTCTGGACCCCTGTGAGTTTATACTTTAGTTGCCTAAGAATCTAGGGCCACGTTTGTTATATTAATACTGTTAATCTCATCCTTCTTATGGCACTTAGTAGAGACAGGTTTGATGGATCAGAATGTTAGATCACAGATGTTGTTGCATTTGAAAAAACATCGTTTTTAATGTGCAGCCATGAAACTAGAAGTGATCTAAGAATATGCCACATTGAGAAGACTTGATTTTTCAGCAAATAATCCATTCTTGGAAGTAGTGTTGTCAAAAATATCGATATTTCGATAAATATCGATACTGAAATATCTGAACGGTACCAATACTAATTTCCCGAAGTATCGATACTAGCCGAGCGGTCACTTTCACTTCTCTCCAAAGGCGCGTTGACAAACACCACACGTGACGCACTCGTCTCATTCGCTCTGGTCAGAGCCATAGAGAGAGAGAGTTGCGACACTCCCATAGACCGCCATAGGAACTTTGGAATGCGGAAGTAACGCGTGTCGTGGAGCGGCCAATAGTTCCAGCATTGAACACCATTCATTTTCAGTGCTTCCGAAGTACGTTCGCTGGTAAATTAATGAAATTACTGTATTTTTTTACTTTTACACACATTAGCCGACCTCTCGTAAATCTAGTCTGTAGTTATATTTTATGTAGCCAGTTTTAGTAAATGTTTATTGGAAGATAATAGGTTAATTGCAGCTATAGCTTACGTGACCAACACTTCACTAACGTTAGCTACCTTACGGTAACTGATGTATATGATATATAATATTTTTAATAACATTTTATATGTATGTATATATATATAGCCTATATATAACATTATATATACATACACACACACAATTCATTTATTTAAATGGGTTAGGGTTATGCATATATGTGCTTATATGTATTTAGGAACATAGTTAATTCACTCATTAACTATCTCTCTCCGGTTTCATTTTATGAAGAATATTTTTCGCTTGAATATTTACCGAACATTGCTGTATATAGTCGTTGCTTTCTAAGTTATGGGAGCAGTCTATTTCCCTCCTAAATTATTCATTTGTACATGCACAGCGTAATTATTTATATTTTATGTTGGTTGGAATTGTGAACGGACCGCAGACCTCTTTGCGTGATCACGAAGCAGAATTTATAAGCAAGATCACGGGAATCAATAGCCTAATACAGCCCAGTTGTGCTAAAATAAATATCATGAGACGTCCATCATCAGATGAATGACATGGAAAAGTTAAGTTAGAGCCGCTAAAGCCAGTGGTACTACCCATGCGAACATGAACACTAGCGTTTCCCTCCAAAAATATAGCCTATAAACTTATCTAAGTTGTCACCCTGCCTCTCCAAATGCAAAACTGACATTAACTAAATGCAAAAACAGCTGAAAAAGTACTTGGGTGTGTGTTTTATTTTATATTTACCGTTTAATAATGCAATCGCTGCTGTCTGTCCATAGAAGAACATGACAGCCCGCGTATGTTGTGGAACTATTGGGGCTTACATGAACCACGTGACAGCCGTCGCGGCGACATCAAAGCGTGTCGCAACTCTTTCTCTCTATGGCTCTGGCTCTGGTTAAATAGCAAAAGTGAAGTGAATGGAAAGATTGCGAGGGCGGCGCCCCCGCGACCGGCTTTGGTTGATTGATAAAGAACACCGCGATCGGTAGGGTTGGGTATCGTTTGGGTTTTATCCGATTCTAGTACCTACTCGGTATTTTTTAAACGGTTCCGGTGCTTAAACGGTTCTTAAATCGGTACTTAAGAAAATGAAACCGCACACACGTTATCAAAAAATAATACCCTTTAATTTACAGGGCCAAACTGGACACAATATTAACTTAAATCTTTAAACAATATAAATACAAGTAACATATGGTAATAATAAAACCAATATAAAATAAAAATTCATATTTACATAATATCAAATGAAACAATATTGTATCAAACAATGTAATAATACTGGAGATTAATAGAGATTACTAGCAGGCAGAGCTGCCAACTCTCACGCATTGACCGTGAGACTCACGCAAATGACCCTTTTCACACAGAAAAATCGCGGACAAAGAGGACACGGACAGACAAGACAGAGAAGGTTACTTTTGATATGGAACAAATCCACAGCTGTCAGATTCTGTCAATATTTTTACGAGATTCACACAATAAATAACGTTTTGGCTCATTGAAATGTGACAGATCGCTGTAGCGCGTCAGTTCAAACGGCACGTGATACAGCAGCCTACAAATCCACTGCTTCTTAGCTACGCAGCGTTGAGTGAACCTATGAAAGAGAACATCTCTGGTTACTGGTGTAACATATCTCTCAATAGGGAACGGGACGCTGCCAAGCTCCTCGCGCTGCCGACCAGCTTCCTTTTTCGGCAGAGAAATCTGAGGAGCAGATGGCGCGCGCGCGCCAACATAGTATGACGACGTAAGTGCGTCGATGCGGCGCCCGCGCCATCAGCCAATGAATTGGCTTGATTCTATATAGGATTCAGACTATCGGCACACCCAGAGGGCGTTCTGACACGTAATTTTACACGTGAAATGCAGCCAAACCTTGCGAGAAAGAGCGCGCATGCGAGACAGAAGAAACTGTGCTCCAAACTGTGTAGCACACGCACGGCGGAGAGGGAGAGAGCGAGAGACCTTGTGTGTGCGTGTGTGCCTAATGAAGTTAGGCACCGAAATCAGGCACCGAAATTTTCGTTCTTTTCGGTCTGGTTACTACCGTTTACGTCGGAACCGGTTCCCTATTGGCACCAAGTTTCGGTACCCAACCCTAGCGATCGGGCATGTCGGAGAATACGTGGACACGCGCTTCACACTGTGAGCGGGCTGCGGGCACCCAAAAGATTGTTTGACTATCAATAATCCCTCACATCACTCATTTTTAAAAATTATTTTATAGGTGAAAACAGACTTAAGGAACAGGCTCCAGGGGTACCATTTAGCAGCATATATGCTCAGCATCAGGGGTGTTTGTTATTTGGACAGACCTGCCCCCACTGCTAAAAAAAATCCTAAAAGAAACACTGTAACTCTTCTCATTTTAACTTTTCTGAAACATTAACCAAGATGGCCTAGTATTGTTGTTGATATGAGTCTGTGTTGTCTAGTATTGTCACCGTTTTCTTAAAGTTAACATAATCTGACTGAGGAATCTTAGACAAGTAAATATTGTTGTGGTCAAATGTAAATTAGCTTGTGCCTATTTAACTTTATTCAAAAATTATTATTTAATTCTGCAATTTTCCTTCATTAGCGATTATCCTCAATTTGATTACACAGATACTAATTAAACTAAACAGCTAGACAATGGCATCTCTGAATTCAATAATGAGATGCCTTTAACTGAAAATTTAATGTTTAATCTTATTATTATACATTACTGACACTCTATCCTCCAATTTGATACTGTTAAGTGCTTTTTTGTTACAGTATATTTTAATCTTTGATAACAGTAGGTAATAAAAATACAACGGATCATGTAAGCTCTGGTCCAATTAAAAAATATTAACAAATAGAACTCGGGACATTTTTGTTCATGTAAAATATACCTCATTGTCATGTTCTAGACTTGTTATATTTAGCTTTAAATACAAAAAATACCCCCTTAATATTGTGGCAATTTTTTTCTCTGTGGTATCGAAAATGGTATCGAATATCGATATTTTTCAAGGTATCATATCGAAGTTAGAAATTCTAGTATCGTGACAACACTGCTTGGAAGTTTTAGTAGAACAATGCTTTGCAGGTTGTATTTTTGTGTGTACTTTGTCATTTTATGTAACGCTGCATGGCTTTTCAAAGTTACAAAATGTTTTCCAATGTTTACAATGAATATTAAAGTCCCCCTGTAGTCAAAAATTTTATCCCTTAAAAGTCATATTTGATCACCAAAATGACAATTTTTTAATGCTTTAAAATATCTTGAATGTAACTCGACACCCTCGCCTCATTTAGTATGCATAGTTCTATGAATATGCAAATGAGCCCCGCCTCCACTCACTCACTCAGCTCAGAGATCCACTGGTTGACGATCACACGTTGATCTGATTGGTTACAAGGTCGTTTGTGACGTCAGAAACACCAGCGATTTCAAACCGTGTTTTTGAGACTGTCTTTGGTTCACTGCAGTTTTAAGTAGGAAATACTCAGCAATGCTGTCGACTTATGAACTTACACATGGTTTGTCTTAAAGCAGATTAAAAACACCACATAGACACATAAACAACATTAAAAGCTGGATTTTCACCACAGGGGGACTTTAATATTTGTATATTTTTTAATAATATGTTTAGAGATACTAATACTGAGAAACTGAATGCACAAAAAAACAGACCATGCTAATTAAAATCATTCTTTCAATTTATTTCCCTCAGGTTATAAAGGGCGACCCATTTGCCTCTGAGAAAATGCCTTATGGGAAACGCTATCATTCGAATACATTCCAGAATTAGAGGACCAAGAATAAGCTGCATTTTCTATGAAAACATTTTGTACCCAATCTGCTGGAGCAGACCTTTTTTGCATCGCCAACCTGCCGTCCTCGTCTCCAGAATCGCTTCACCGACCGTCCCGCAGGGCGACTGCCTATCATGAGATTCCGAATTTACAAGCGAAAGGTGGTAATACTGACTCTAGTGGTGGTAATCTGTGGATTCGCCGTCTGGAATAGTGGTAAGCCGAAGAAGGCAAGTGCCGTGTTTCCCAAGGATCTGGAGACGGGTAAGCGTAGCAGCGCCGCTGGTCAAGTGCAGGTAACTATACCAGTTACCCGAAAACCCGTCAACGAGACTCTACCGGAAAAACAACAAGTAGTCGCCAAGCCCGAAGTAGATAACACGACTCTCGTGTACAGAGGGATCGTGTTTCAGGTCAACTTTGACCAGACCCTAAAAAACGAGGAAAAGTTTCACAACGTGCGCCAGAAGGACGACCTTGTCGTCGTCATTCAGGTTCACAACCGCCCCGAATACCTACGGCTTTTGGTGGACAGCTTGAGAAAAGCGAAAGGAATTGAGAAAGTCTTGCTGATATTCAGCCATGACTTCTGGTCTCTGGAAATCAACCAGATAGTCGCGTCTGTCGACTTCTGTTTGGTCCTTCAGATATTCTTCCCCTTTAGCATCCAACTTTATCCTCAAGAGTTCCCCGGGAATGATCCCAGAGATTGCCCTCGAGACCTTTCAAAGAAAGATGCCTTAACGTTAGGCTGTATAAACGCAGAGTACCCGGACTCTTTCGGACACTATCGGGAAGCCAAGTTCTCGCAGACCAAACATCATTGGTGGTGGAAGTTGCACTTTGTGTGGGATCGAGTCCGAGTGTTGAAGGATCACCAAGGATTTTTGTTGCTCATCGAAGAGGACCACTACCTCGCTCCCGACTTTCAACACCTTCTCAAAATGATGGTGTCCCTAAAGAAAGAACAGTGTCCTGACTGCGATATCTTGTCTCTGGGAAGCTACGGACACACCGGCTACTCCAGCAAAGCCAACAAAGTGGAGGTGAAAGCATGGAAGTCCACCGAGCACAACATGGGAATGGTGTTGAACAGAGATACGTACCAGAAACTCCTCAGATGCACTGATGCCTTCTGCACCTACGACGACTACAACTGGGATTGGTCGTTGCAATACCTTACCGTGGCTTGTTTGCCCACGTTCCTGAAGGTCATGGTGAGCGAGGCGCCTCGCATTTTCCATGCCGGCGACTGTGGCATGCACCACAAGAAGTCGGCTTGCATGCCGACCAGCCAGAAGACAAAGATCGAGAACATTCTCCAGAGCAGCGGGAACCAGTTGTTCCCAAAACAGCTGCTCATCACAAAGAGACTCCCTTCTTCTGGAGCCAAAGGACTGGCTCCTCACGTCAAAAACGGAGGTTGGGGAGACATCAGGGACCATGAACTCTGCAAGAGCTACCTTCGATTACAGTGACTTTATATTCTCTCCTTTTTGTTGTTTTTGCATCCTCTAATGAAAGCCTTTAAGAGTTCTTTATGGACTACTTCTTATTGCCTGTTTTATTGAAATATTCCAAATAAAAAAAAAGAAAGTATATGTGACGTTTGGATTTGGTGGTTATGAGCATCATTGAAGTATTATCACTGGGAAAAAAAGTGTTATTGTTGTCACTCTTATATCTATTATTAAAGACTAGCATTTTTGTGCCATTTCAAAGACAACATTTGTATATATGATTTTAAAATCTGCAAAAGCATGAACTTTCTTATAATTATGTATATGTGTGTGTGTGTGTATACAGACCTGCAGACAGTGTGCTTTGGATCATTAGGGGCTTTCGCACTAGGTAGTTGTAAGAACTCAATTATAGGAACTAGCCACCAAGGTTGTCCCCCAAAAACTCAAGTTTCCCCAATAGGGCCATTTTTCTGGTTGCATTCGCACCGCCAGTAGGAACTCTGAAGTGACGTAACTTACGACCTGCCGTTCTGGAGTGTGTTTCCTGTACATAGTAACTCGTGCTTCACTACTATAGTGCGATGCATCGTTGGAAAAATCATCTAGCTCGTCACGACTGTTTCCTGAAACCATATTGTCGCAAATTGGACGTGCAACCACGTTGGTTAATGATGTCACGCACGTGTGGAGTAATAACTACTGTTAATGAATCCATTTGAGATCGAATTAATGCTAGATGCTTTGCTATAAATTACAGACATGCATCTGAGGACTATTTCTAATTTTTCTCAGTTATTTTGCTTTATTTCCAGATTCACTCATAGACTCGTTCTTACACTAGAGCTCGTTCACACATGCGCACTCTTCAAACACGACGCTTTAAATCTCTTGACAAAATAAAAGATGTAAATGACACTTCTATGTATTCTAAACAAAAGACAGTTTGCACTGAATGTCAGCTGGCTTATTTTGCTCAAGATCAGGATTTATTGAGTCCACATGTCATGCAAACAAGAAACTCCTTCTAACTGCAGGTTGAGATCTGTCGCTCAAACACACACCTCTGCGATGCTGTTTGCGAATGTTTGTTGGAACGATGGTTTCGGGAAACACCGACTCGTTAAACTGCTGATAACGACGGAACTTGCAACCATAGTTGGCTAACGATGCTTTCGGGGAAACACACCCCTGATTGTTGTACGCGACTGAGGAAAGGCTCCGCCAGAGCTTAAGCACTTAGCACTCACATTCTCCATCTTCATTAGTTTACGATCTGTTTAACAGTCCTATCTGATACGGTATTATAATGGAATATATCGTAAATTAAATCGGGAGAACAGACCACAAATGTGCAGTTGTCCGTTTTCATACTTTTACAGCAAAATGCAAAGGGAAAAAAGAAAATAATCATGATGAAAAGAAAAAAGAATACAGCTTATTCTTGTTATAACATGTCACGTTGATGATGCCCTGATGATGGTCTTTTGACCGAAAGCTTGGTCTATTAAATTTGCTTTAAGGATTTGAGTGTGCGGACAGTTTATTTATTGAGATCTTTAGTCTTGTGTGTCTGGCACCTTGAAGATCGTGAGTGCGGTGTAACTCCTTCATAACATGTCACGTTAAAATATCACGTCTTACTTTATTCCCATGATGTCTGAAAAGAAAACATGAAAGAAATTTGACAGCTCATTCAGTCAAACTGATGGATAAGCTTTATTTGTAGGGCAACTTTATGATTTGAAATGATTACAGGTGAAACTTGAAAAATTAGAATATCGTGCAAAAGTTAGTTTATTTCAGTAATTCAACTTAAAAGGTGAAACTAAAATATTATATAGACTCATTACATGCAAAGTGAGATATTTCAAGCCTTTATTTGTTATAATTGTGATGATTATGGCTTACAGATATGAAAACCTTTTCACAATATTCTAATTTTGACTTTGGGGTTTTCATAAGCTGTAAGCCATAATCATCACAATTTTAACAAATAAAGGCTTGAAATATCTCACTGTGCATGTAATGGGTCTATATAATATATTAGTTTCACCTTTTAAGTTGAATTACTGAAATAAATGAACTTTTGCACGATGTTCTAATTTTTCGAGTTTCACCTGTAGTTTCAGTCTTTTTGAATGGCTGATCCCCAATCCGGAAGCGCCACCCATAATTCAAAACGCTCATCAATAACGAGGATAGGCTATAAACCGTGTTTACAAGGCTTTTACAAATGGAGGGTGCCGGTGTTTCGCGTGCGTTCGGCCAATCAGCGTACACTTACGTCACTGGTAGTTCCTATTGTGCTGGGTTAGACCTTACTCTAAAGTAGGAGATAATTTAGTCCTCGAAAAAGGCGTTTCTATACGTAAAATTGTTCCCAGTTCCTGCGGTCGAACGCGCCAAAAAGTGTGTACTTCCGCCATTAGTTACAGACTCTTTGAAAACCTTCCTCTGGTGCGAAAGCCCTTATAACTCCACCTTCTGTTCAAGATTATGCTGGGCTATTTTTGATATGCAGATGAACTATTTTCTATTTGCTTGAATGTGACTGACCGTTTTCAAGGTGTAAGGTTGTGCTTCATATTGAACATATTCCAGTATTAGAATGGTTTTGAAGCTTTTGCAAGACATTAAAATTGCATTGACTATCTTGCAGTCCTCATTAGCCCCTTATAAACGCTTTGTCCTATTTACACAAGCTTTCCAGATCTCTGGCCTCAATCTTTACAGATCCAACACAGTGTGAGAAAGTGAAGCCTTCGGAGCTGTTAGTCGTCTTGTGGTTGCACTAAGGATTTACGCTTAGTCCTGTTGACCTGGGTTGTTATTATCGTTAACTAAAACCATAACTATTTTCATTACTTAAAATAAAATGCAATACAAAGACTTAAACCCCATTGGCATTAAGTGTATGGACAAAAACGGTTATTCTTCTAAATGTTTGTGTGTGTGTGTGTGCTTTAACTGAAATGGTACAACAGCCATAGATCTCCCTTTGCTTATTAAACATTTTGACATTTAATAATTTTATGATGTTTTCAACTCAACTCAGATTTTATTTATATATTTTATATATATGTATAAAGCACTTTCAAAACCATTAACAAAGTGCTGTCCATAAATATTAAATAACTCTAAAATACATAGAAATAATAATAATCTTCCTGATCAGTTTCATCATCTCAGCATCCCGGATAGCTTAGAAGAGCTCGATGTCGCAACAGAAGTGATTGACTCTCTTTTCCAGCACTTTAGACACAGTTGCTCCATTGCGCTTAAAGAAGATTAAAGAAAATAGTCCAACACCGTGGTACAACGAGCACACCCAGGCCCTTAAGAGAGCAGATCCCTTTCCCACTCTACAGATAAAGCGTTGTTGAAAATCCGGTTCGCGTACCTCGAAGTGATAAAATAAAATTCTGTATCAAATTTATAGGCAAGACAAGTAGTTTGTTTAGGCATGGTTTGTTGGGAAATTACAAACCTGCGCACACATATTCAAACAAATCTAACTATAGAATCAATTTTTAATGCGCATGTGAACGCCATCAGGTCACAGGTTCGCGTTTAAAGTCTGTTTAGAGAGAACGCCGTCGTCTTAGTGGCCCCTAATGTAATAACAAATGATCATTTTGCTGGAAGTGAATCAATCAAAACCAACTCTAGCTGGAAATAACATTATTCAAAAATCGCTATAAAGCCAAAACAATCTCTGTTACTGTAAATTGTATGTTTATCTCTGTAAAGCTGCTTTGAAACAATCTCCATTGTTAAAAGCGCTATATAAATGAAGATGACTTGACTTGACTTGACTTGACTAACGACAAATAAAACTTCAACACCGGACGGTCTCAAACAGCACAGCAGTAATGACTTTATAAACTTCTTTACTTACAATATTGATAATTGTAAGTAAAGAATACTCCCTGATGCAATACTACTACAGTATCAAATCAGGGAGAGCATTGTAGTCTCCCTGAAGAAAAATTTGATTCATTCATTGCTATAGGAGAGGAAGAATTGTCTAAACTCGTTAAATCATCTAAATCGACAACATGTATGTTAGACACTATACCGACTAAGCTACTGAAAGAGATGCTTCCAAAGGTCATAGATCCTCTTCTCAATATCATTAATTCGTCTTTGTCTCTACTAGGATATGTACCGAAAACTTTTAAGCTGGCTGTTATTAAACCTCTTACTGTATTAAAAAAACGCAACTTGATCCTAGAGAATTAATTACAGGACGATCTCGAATCTGCCTTTTCTGTCAAAGATACTAGAAAAGACAGTATCCTCACAACTGTGTTCCTTTTTAGAAATAAATGATATCTGTGAGGATTTTCAGTCCGGATTTAGACCGTACCATAGTACCGAGACATCTCTCATTAGAGTCACAAATGATTTGCTCTTATCATCCGATCGTGGTTGTATCTCTCTATTAGTGTTTGTTACGAACCGTTGTGGGTCTAGGGCTGGTACCGCAACATTTATATATTGAGTATACTGCTGGAAGTGGTGTATGGTGGAAAAACACATGTCAGACTCATCTTGAAGAGAAAATAACTGGAATTTATTTCCATAAGCCGAAGCCACTGAATCCAGTCAAATAATAAGGTGCTATATACAATAAATGATAGGGTGAACAAACAAACAATAAAAATAGGAAAAGAACAAAAGTGGCGCCAAAAGAAAGAACGCAAGATAACAAAACACTCCTTAATCTAAACTAATCTAACCAAAGTAAAATGTAGAAAATAAACCGAAATCTTCGGTGCATCCGGCACCCTAACTAAACTATCTAATAAAACAGAAATACAAGGAGTGGCGCTCACTTCTTACCTGGTGTGTCTAACAATTATCTGCTACGGGTGCAATGTATATCGCGATATTTATACTTGCGATAAAGACGACACTTTTTGTTCATTTAAATAAACAACTACACGCTCAGATACGCAGTTCTTAAAGTCCTCTAAAAGTAGTAATTCTCGCATGTCTTTAACATCATTCACCTTACTTGATGTGCACCACTTATCAAACAAGATGCTTTTTTCTCTCGCAAATTCAACAAATGACTGATTAGAAATCTTCTTATGACACCTAAACTGTTGTCTGTAGGCCTCTGGCACTAGCTCATAGGCACGCAAAATCGCAAGTTTCACAACCTCATAATTCACGCTATCCTCTAAGGACAACGTAGCGCAAACATCTTGAGCCTTACCAGTAAGCTTGCACAATGCATGTTCAGTGGCAAGAGAGTCACTTGAAGTTGCTCAGAAAAAAATGAAGTGTCATCATGATCGTAAATCTGTATCCCGTACCTTTAATAAAGGCGATCAAGTGTTGGTGTTGCTGCCTATGGTAGGGTCTGCTTTATCAGCACGATTTTCTGGACCATATGAGGTGGTAAGAAAAATTAGTGATACAGATTACGTCATTGGAACTCCTGATAGAAGGAGAAAGACTCGTGTGTGTCATGTAAATATGTTGAAGACTTTCCATAACCGAGAAGCTGGTCAGTATGTGTCATCTACAGATGAAATCCCCACTCCTGTGTCATCTGCTGTGTTAGTTGCCTGCGCTGCTGTCGAGATGGCTGATCCGGAGGACGATGGGATAATCCTGCGTCATTCCCATCAACAGTGTGCTCGACTGAAGAATTCGGAGGTATTGTCTAATTTTGCCTCTCGAGTATGTCATTTACCTGAACAACAAGGATGTGATATTATGCAGTTGATTGATGATTTTCCTGCTCTATTTAATGATGTACCTTCCTGTACTACAGTGTTAGAGCACGATATTAACGTGGGTGAGGCTGTTCCGATCAAACAGCACGCGTATCACGTGAATACTGTGAAGAGAGCTCTGATGCGAAAAGAGGTTGAGTATTTGTTGGAGCATGGACTTGCTCACTCCAGTTGTAGTCCATGGAGTTCTCCGTGCTTACTGGTGCCGAAGAGCGATGGTACGATGCGATTTTGTACTGACTATCGAAAGGTAAATGCGGTAACTGTACCGGACTGTTTTCCATTGCCGCGCATGGAAGACTGCGTTGACAACTTAGGTTCAGCTCGATATGTCAGTAAATTAGATTTGCTAAAAGGTTACTGGCAAGTTCCTCTTACTTCTCGTGCTTCTGACGTTTCAGCATTCGTAACACCTGACAGTTTTATGCAGTACTCCGTGATGGCGTTCGGCATGCGAAACGCACCCGCCACTTTTTAGCGTTTGGTCAATATTGTGTTGGCTGGAGTGCCCAACTGCAATGCATATTTAGACGACTTAGTAGTGTATTCTACTAATTGGTCAGAACATGTGTCGTCATTGCGAATTGTTTTTGAGCGTCTTGAGAAAGCGTCGTTGACGTTGAATCTGGCCAAATGTGAATTCGGACAAGCTACTATCACGTATCTGGGGAAGGAAGTCGGTCAAGGTCAAGTGCGCCCTGTAGAAGCAAAAGTTCTTGCGATAGCTGAGTTTCCTACTCCAGCCACCCGACGTGAACTTCGCCGATTTTTAGGGATGGCTGGCTACTATCGTGGCTTTTGTAGAAACTTTTCGACGATCGCGCACCCGCTGACTTCACTGCTTAGTCCATCAAGGAAGTTTGTATGGTCTGATGATTGTCAATATGCTTTTGAATCCATCAAAAGTTTATTGTGTAATGCACCTGTTTTAGCTGCACCAGACTGTGATTCTGCTTTTAAGCTCGATGTGGATGCCAGTGCCGTTGGTGCTGGAGCTGTCCTAATTCAGGAAGGTAAAGATGGTATTGATCATCCTATCTGTTACTTTTCACGGAAATTCAACAGACATCAGTTGAATTACTCGACGATCGAGAAAGAGGCACTAGCACTTTTAATGGCTCTCCAATATTTCGACGTGTATATAGGATCGAGTAATATTCCAGTCACTGTGTTTACCGACCATAACCCTCTGGTATTTTTGTCACGTATGCATAATCAGAATCAACGCTTGATGCGTTGGTCTCTGATTGTACAAGGTTATGATCTGGTGATTAAACACAAAAAAGGCATTGAAAATGTGATAGCTGATGCACTATCTAGAGTTGCTTACTGCGGCCTGTAATAACTATTTGAACAACTATATGTTTTTTTTTTCATATAGTTGATTCTTAAGGGGGGGGAAGTGTTACGTTCCACGCGTGTGTGTTATGTTTTTATTATTTTGTGCACGTTGGTGTGTTTATCACGTGTTGGTCGTTATGCTCATTATCCTCTCTCTGTCTCTATCACCCTATCTCTGCTTATAGGTTGCTGTGATTGGCCGAGTCGGACGTCATTCATCCTTAAGGCGGGGCTTGATGATTAATTGGAGGCCGTCCTAGCTGGTTAAAAGGATGTTGTGTTCATTGATGCAGTCTCTCTCTGTAGCTTTTGGTAGCAAACTCTGTGCTCTTCGTAGTGATTTGTGCTCTTCGTAGTGATTTGTGCTCTTCGTAGTGATCTGTGCTCTTTGTAGCGATCTGAGCTCTTAGTAGCGGAATGAGTTTGTTTATACTTTTGCCTGAATGAGTGTTGTGCTATGTGCTATGTACTTGACATGTTTTCCTTTTGGATGGGTGAGATTAATTTGTGTTGTCTACCTTTTGTTTGCTTTTCTGGGGAAAGAACATAGGCAAGTATATCGCACATAGCACAACACTCATTCAGGCAAAAGTATAAACAAACTCATTCCGCTACTAAGAGCTCAGATCGCTACTAAGATCACAAATCACTACAAAGAGCACAGATCACTACGAAGAGCACAAATCACTACGAAGAGCACAGAGTTTGCTACCAAAAGCTACAGAGAGAGACTGCATCAATGAACACAACATCCTTTTAACCAGCTAGGACGGCCTCCAATTAATCATCAAGCCCCGCCTTAAGGATGAATGACGTCCGACTCGGCCAATCACAGCAACCTATAAGCAGAGATAGGGTGATAGAGACAGAGAGAGGATAATGAGCATAACGACCAACACGTGATAAACACACCAACGTGCACAAAATAATAAAAACATAACACACACGCGTGGAACGTAACAGTGTTACTTGATCTTAGTGCTGCATTTGACACAATTGACCACAACATTCTTTTAAATAGACTAGAAAACTATATTGGCATTAGTGGAATTGCACTAGCATGGTTTAAATCATACTTATCTGACCGTTATCAGTTTGTAGCAGTAAATGAAGAGTCAAGTCCAGTATGGCGTACCACAAGGCTCAGTACTAGGACCGCTGCTGTTCACTCTGTACATGCTACCATTAGGAGATATCATTAGGAAACATGGAATTAGCTTTCACTGTTATGCCGATGATACTCAGCTGTATATTTCTTCAAAACCTAACGAAACTTACCAATTCACAAAATTAACGGAATGCATAGCTGATACAAAAAATTGGATGACTAGTAATTTCCTACTACTAAATTCTGAAAAAACAGAAATTCTAATTATTGGACAAAAACTTCCTCACGTAATAACCTAGAATACTTTTTAACACTTTATGGCTGCTCTGTTAAGTCCTCGTCGTCGGTTAGGAACCTGGGTGTGCTCTTTGATACCAATTTGAAAGTCACGTTTCTAGTATCTGTAAAACCGCATTCTTCCATCTTTGAAAGATTTTACTTTCAATAAAACATTTGCAATAGATTTGTAAAAGGGGTTTTTAATGCATGTTTGGCCCGGGTTTTTGTTGCATTTACATTGTTCTGACCACTAGGGGTCACCATGGAGACAGGTGTCGGATTGTTTCGAAGCCTCGACAAAATACGGCACATTTGCTTAAAGTTTTTCAGTGTTTCATGAAGCCTCGATCTGCCCACCACTACCACTACCATTATATTCACAGGATGAAGCATAAAACAAAGGCTGAATTCTGAACGGCAGAAATAGTACTAGTAAACTATTATGAATTAAGCTCAATATGTGCATTCTATGTATGTTCCAAAAGGGTGGAAAAACAAGGACAATTGAATCTTAAGAACAAATGGAAACACCCAGTTGCATAAACTCCCACACTCATGCAAGTCTGGAGAATCATGACTGTTAATGAAAAGGGAGGGATTATCGTTAATTAGCCAAAATCTGTAGAGTACAAAAAGACCAAAGGGCAGCATCTCAACAGTGTGACTAGCTGTTGAACAATGGCAGGAAGTTGGTGTGTTGTTCAGTCTCTGGCACTTTGTGTTTGGTTCTGTGCTTTCTGCCATGCCGTTCCAAAGTGGAGTAATCTGCCCCAAAGTCCTCAAGCTCTGATGTTCCAGCAAACTGACCAGCGGTTTCCTCAGTCAGTTCAATGGCAAGCTAGTCAACAGTTTTCTAAGCCAGTTCAACATCAAGCTAGTCAACAGTTTCCTCAGTCAGTTCAACGGCAAGTTAATCAACAGTATCCTAAGCCAGTTCAACAGCAAGCTGGTCAACAGTATCCTCAGTCAGCTCAATGGCAAGCTGGTCAACAGTATCCTCAGTCAGCTCAATGGCAAGCTAGTCAACAGTTTCCTCAGTCAGTTCAACAGCAAGCTAGTCAACAGTTTCCTCAGTCCGTTCAACAGCAAGCTAGTCAACAGTATCCTAAGCCAGTTCAACAGCAAGCTGGTCAACAGTATCCTCAGTCAGCTCAATGGCAAGCTGGTCAACATTATCCTCAGTCAGCTCAATGGCAAGCTAGTCAACAGTATCCTCAGTCAGTTCAGCAACAAGCTAGTCAACAGTATCCTCAGTCAGTTCAACAACAAGCTAGTCAACAGTTTCCTCAGCAGTTTCAGCCTAAACAGCCAGTGGCACAGGCAGAGCCCCTTGACAAATGTGCTGTAGCTGATTATGAGCAGATCCAATGTGGACCACCTGGTATCAGTGGTGCTGAGTGTGCAGCTATTAACTGCTGCTTTAACGTACAGCAGTGTTACTATGGGAAGGTCGGTAAGAGTGTTGAGTCAATGTAACGGTGTTTCTTGTTAAACTGATCCTCATCAATAACCAGCTCTTGTACCTTGTTCCAGTGACTGTCCAGTGTATAAGAGACGGTCAGTTTGTGGTAGTGGTGGCTAGAGATGTCACGCTGCCTCGTTTGAGCCTGGATTCAGTCCGTCTCCTGGGTGGAAATGATCCAGCTTGCAGTCCTGTGGGATCCACACCTTTCTTTGCTATATACCAGTTCCCTGTCACTGCGTGCGGCACGAGCATGACAGTGAGTAGCTGCTTGTGGTTTTGTTCTGCATGGCTTAGAATGGACTGGATGCCAACAGTGTTACTATTTGCAGGAGGACAGTGGATATGTGGTGTATGAAAACAGAATGACCTCCTCGTATGAAGTGGGTATCGGACCACTCGGTTCCATCACAAGGGACAGCCATTTTGAGTGGGTGACGTATGCTTTAGCACGTTTGTTAATCCTTGGCAAATGCTACAAGCTCACTGTTTGTTTTCCAGGCTTCTCTTCCAGTGTAGGTACTCTGGTGCTTCTGTGGAAGCTCTGGTTGTGGAGGTCAACACTGTTCCTCCACCTCCACCAGTAGCTGCTCCTGGACCCCTCAGGGTGGAGCTTAGACTAGCAAATGGTCAGTGTTCCACCAAAGGCTGTGCGGAAGGTAAGTGTTTGACCCAAATGTGTGCCTAAAGCCTTTCTAAAGCTCCAGGTTGCAGCGGTTTCTGGTTAAACACTATTCTTCCTCAGGGGACGAGGCGTACACTTCCTACTACAGTGATGCTGATTATCCTGTTACAAAAGTCCTGCGGGAGCCTGTGTATGTTGAGGTGCGCGTTTTGGAGAGGACCGACCCCAACATTGTCCTTATGCTGGGACATTGCTGGGCGACATCAATCCCCAGTCCACTCAGTCTACCCCAATGGGACCTTCTGGTTGATGGGTGAGTAAGGCCAGTCTTTATCCATCTAGTGTGCTGTAAGGTGTTTCCGATTCCCTCTTTGCTTTTCAGATGCCCTTACCAGGATGATCGTTACCTGACCACATTGGTTCCAGTGGCTGGATCGTCTGGTCTTCAGTTCCCAACCCACTACAAGCGCTTTATTGTGAAGATGTTCACATTTGTTGATCCATCATCACTGGCTCCTCTGCAGGAAACCGTATGCTCCGCAGCCTTACCTCAACCCTTAATATTAGTACTTTTTATAGTAAATTCTATGGCTAAACCCTTTCCCCCTCTGTTAGATCTTCATCCACTGTAGTACAGCAGTGTGCCATCCCTCTTCTGGCTCCTGTGAGCAAAGCTGCACTAGGAAAAGTGAGTGCTTGCTGTAATCCGGCTTGGGGAACCGTGAGAATTTGGTATTTAAATGCTGCTCATGCTTCTACCACTTCTTTTACAGGAAGGGACACTCCCATCAAGACCGTCTCTAGTGGGCAAACTGTGGTGTCTAGTGGAGAAGTTAACCTGGTCATGTGAATTTAGATTTAATAAACTGGTATTGATTTTCAACGAGTCGGATCTTGCATGACTGTTCTTGGTTTTATTTATTGGGCCACACTACTAAACCAAAGTTCCATTTTTGCTTTAGCAAGGTTGTACTTGCCATGCTCCAGTTGCAAACCTGGGTTCCTCAATATTTTATATAGCAGGGTGCAGACTTTTTTCCTCGCAGTTTGTTTTGCCAAGGAATAAAATATAACAGTAATTGTGACTTATTTCACATTTCTTACTTATTTTTCACAATTGTGAGTTTCTTGGTATTGTGAGTTACAGTATTTCTGGCAAATAAACCCTGCATATGAGTTGACGTTCTCTTGATTTGTGTTCATGAAAGTGCAATAATTCTGACAAAACAAGAAGTTTCTCAAATGAGTAAAATCATGATTATCAGTTTAGCCATCATTGTGCAGCCCTACTTGTTGTGTGGAGGGCTTTTAAATCCCTTTATTGCATTAATATAATCCATTTCCAGATGTCTTGTGACGCTGATGAGCTCAATTGGCCCTGCGGAGCTGGAATGGAGAGCTTGAGCTGGCTGTTGTCACCGAGAGCTTCGCTCTAATGATAGATGTTCGTGTGCATCTCCAGACCACAGTGAACATAGTCAGGGAAGTGAGTCCCAATCTCAGTCACAAACTCAATGCTGGCAGACAGTGGCAAAGCATTGATAAAAATCAGAAATGTTTGAGCCGCAAATTTGAATGATTTCTAAAGGATCTTGTGACACTGACAATTTGATTAATTTGTTGCTATAGGAGAGGAAGAATTTTGCAAACTCGTTAAACCATCTAAATTGGCAACTTGTATGTTAGACCCTATACCGACTAAGCTACTGAAAGAGATGCTTCCAGATGTCATAGATCCTCTTCTTAATATCATTAATTCATCTTTGTCTCTAGGATACGTACCAAAAACCTTTAAGCTGGCTATGATTAAACCGCTTGTTAAAAAAACGCAACTTGATCATACAATTAGTCAATTACAGGCCGATCTCGAATCTGCCTTTTCTGTCAAAGATATTAGAAAAAGCAGTATCCTCACAACTGTGTTCCTTTCTTGAAAGAAATGATATCTGCCAGGATTTTCAGTCCGGATTTAGACCGTACCATAGTACCGAGACAGCTCTCATTAGAGTCACAAATGATTTGCTCTTATCATCCGATCGTGGTTGTATCTCTCTAGTAGTGTTACTTGATCTTAGTGCTGCATTTGACACCATTGACCACAACATTCTTTTAAATAGACTGGAAAACTATGTTGGCATTAGTGGAATTCCACTAGCATGGTTTAAATCTACTTATCTGACCGTTATCAGTTTGTAGCAGTAAATGAAGAGATGTCTTATCGATCACAATTTCAGTATGGCGTACCACAAGGCTCAGTACTAGGACCGCTGCTGTTCACTCTGTACATGCTACCATTAGGAGATATCATTAGGAAACATGGAATTAGTTTTCACTGTTATTTACATTTATTCATTTAGCTGACACTTTTATCCAAAGCGACTTACAATTGCTATATATGTCAGAGGTTGCACGCCTCTGGAGCAACTAGGGGTTAAGTGTCTTGCTCAGGGACACATTGGTGTCACACAGTGGATTCGAACCCGGGTCTTTCACACCAAAGGCATGTGTCTTATCCACTGCGCCATCACCACCCCATGTTATGCTGATGATACTCAGCTGTATATTTCTTCGTGCCCCGACGAAACGCACCAATTCACAAAATTAACGGAATGCGTTGCTGACATAAAAAATTGGATGACTAGTAATTTCCTACTACTAAATTCTGAAAAAACATAGATTCTAATTATTGGCCAAAAAACTTCCTCACGTAATAACCTAGAATACTGTCTAACACTTGATGGCTGCTCTGTGAAGTCCTCGTCGTCAGTTAGGAACCTGGGTGTGCTCTTTGATACCAATCTTTCATTTAAAAGTCACGTTTCTAGTATCTGTAAAACCGCATTCTTCCATCTTAAAAATATATCTAAATTACGCCATATGCTTTCAATGAAAAATGCGGAACAATTAGTTAATGCTTTCATGACCTCAAGGCTAGATTACTGTAATGCTCTACTGGGTGGTTGCCCTGCACGCTTAATAAACAAACTACAGCTGGTTCAAAACGCTGCAGCTCGAGTTCTTACCAGAACCAGGAAGTATGACCATATTAGTCTGGTTCAATAAACACTGCATTGGCTCCCTATTAAACATTGTATACATTTATAAATATTGCTGATTACTTACAAAGCACTAAATGGTTTAGCTCTGCAGTACTTGAGCGAGCTCTTAACGCATTATAGTCCTTCACGTCTAGTGCGATCTCAAAATTCCGGCCAGTTGATAATACCTAGAATATCAAAATCGACTGCTGGCGGTAGATCCTTTTCCTATTTAGCACCAAAACTTTGGAACAGTCTTCCTACCATTGTCCGGGAAGCAGACACACTCTGTCAGTTCAAAGCTAGACTAAAAACACATCTCTTTGACCTAGCATTCACATAATACATTATCGACTTCTATAATTCAATGTTAGGCTGCATAGATTAGGTCAGCTGGAACTGGGAACACTTCCCTTAAATCCTGATGTACTCGTTACATCATAAGAAGAATGGCATCTACGCTAATTTCAGTGTCTTTGTTTATCCCGAGGTTTTCCCGCAGCCTGCCGGATCCAGGCCTTTTCCAGATCTGACGAAGGACCTTCGCCTGGACCCGATGACAACGCAGTGCTGAAATGTCAACTATCCTCTCCCTATGGAGGATTCCTATTCCACTCTACAGATAAAGCGTTGTGGAAATTAGGGTTCACGTACCAACCCCGAAGTGATAAAATAAAATAAAATAAAATTCTGTATCAAAATTTATAGGCAAGACAAGTAGTTTGTTTAGGTATGGTTTGTAGGGAATTACAAACCTGCGCACATATATTCAAACACACATAACAGAATCAATTCTTAATGCGCATGTGAACGCCATCAGCGTTTATCACAGGTTCCAATTGATAAAAAAACATATAAACACTTGATAATCTTGTTAGATGATTAGATAATTACATTTGAAAGATTTTACTTTCAATAAAACATTTGCAATAGATTTGTAAAAGGGGTTTTTATGCATGTTTGGCCCGGGTTTTTGTTGCATTTACACTGTTCTGACATCTAGGGGTCACCATGGAGACAGGTGTCGGATTGTTTCGAAGCCTCGACACAATACGGCACATTTGCTTCAACTTTTTCAGTGTTTCATGAAGCCTCGATCTGCCCACCACTACCATTACATTCACAGGATGAAGCATAAAACAAAGGCTGAATTCTGAACGGCAGAAATAGTACTAGTAAACTATTCTGAAATAAGCTCAATATGTGCATTCTATGTATGTTCCAAAAGGGTGGAAAAACAAGGGCAATTGAATCTTAAGAACAAATGGAAACACCCAGTTGCATAAACTCCACACTCATGCAAGTCTGGAGAATCATGACTGTTAATGAAAAGGGAGGGATTATCGTTAATTAGCCAAAATCTGTAGAGTACAAAAAGACCAAAGGGCAGCATCTCAACAGTGTGACTAGCTGTTGAACAATGGCAGGAAGTTGGTGTGTTGTTCAGTCTCTGGCACTTTGTGTTTGGTTCTGTGCTTTCTGCCATGCCGTTCCAAAGTGGAGTAATCTGCCCCAAAGTCCTCAAGCTCTGATGTTCCAGCAAACTGACCAGCGGTTTCCTCAGTCAGTTCAATGGCAAGCTAGTCAACAGTTTTCTAAGCCAGTTCAACATCAAGCTAGTCAACAGTTTCCTCAGTCAGTTCAACGGCAAGCTAATCAACAGTATCCTAAGCCAGTTCAACAGCAAGCTAGTCAACAGTTTTCTAAGCCAGTTCAACAGCAAGCTAGTCAGCAGTATCCTCAGTCAGTTCAACAAGCTAGTCAACAGTTTTCTAAGCCAGTTCAACAGCAAGCTAGTCAGCAGTATCCTCAGTCAGTTCAACAAGCTAGTCAACAGTATCCTCAGTCAGTTCAACAGCAAGCTAGTCAACAGTTTCCTCAGTCAGTTCAACAAGCTAGTCAACAGTATCCTCAGTCAGTTCAACAGCAAGCTGGTCAACAGCAAGCTAGTCAACAGTATCCTCAGCAGTTTCAGCCTAAACAGCCAGTGGCACAGGCAGAGCCCCTTGACAAATGTGCTGTAGCTGATTATGAGCAGATCCAATGTGGACCACCTGGTATCAGTGGTGCTGAGTGTGCAGCTATTAACTGCTGCTTTAACGGACAGCAGTGTTACTATGGGAAGGCCGGTAAGAGTGTTGAGTCAATGTAAAGGTGTTTCTTGTTAAACTGATCCTCATCAATAACCAGCTCTTGTACCTTGTTCCAGTCACTGTCCAGTGTATAAGAGATGGTCAGTTTGTGGTAGTGGTGGCTAGAGATGTCACGCTGCCTCGTTTGAGCCTGGATTCAGTCCGTCTCCTGGGTGGAAATGATCCAGCTTGCAGTCCTGTGGGATCCACACCTTTCTTTGCTATATACCAGTTCCCTGTCACTGCGTGCGGCACGAGCATGACAGTGAGTAGCTGCTTGTGGTTTTGTTCTGCATGGCTTAGAATGGACTGGATGCCAACAGTGTTACTATTTGCAGGAGGACAGTGGATATGTGGTGTATGAAAACAGAATGTCCTCCTCGTATGAAGTGGGTATCGGACCACTTGGTTCCATCACAAGGGACAGCCATTTTGAGTGGGTGATGTATTCTTTAGCACATTTGTTAATCCTTGGCAAATGCTACAAGCTCACTGTTTGTTTTCCAGGCTTCTCTTCCAGTGTAGGTACTCTGGTACTTCTGTGGAAGCTCTGGTTGTGGAGGTCAACACTGTTCCTCCACCTCCACCAGTAGCTGCTCCTGGACCCCTCAGGGTGGAGCTTAGACTAGCAAATGGTCAGTGTGTCACCAAAGGCTGTGCAGAAGGTAAGTGTTTGACCCAAGTGTGTGCCTAAAGCCTTTCTAAAGCTCCAGGTTGCAGCGGTTTCTGGTTAAACACTATTCTTCCTCAGGGGACGAGGCGTACACTTCCTACTACAGTGATGCTGATTATCCTGTTACAAAAGTCCTGCGGGAGCCTGTGTATGTTGAGGTGCACGTTTTGGAGAGGACCGACCCCAACATTGTCCTGATGCTGGGACATTGCTGGGCGACATCAACCCCCAGTCCACTCAGTCTACCCCAATGGGACCTTCTGGTTGATGGGTGAGTAAGGCCAGTCTTTATCCATCTAGTGTGCTGTAAGGTGTTTCTGATTCCCTCTTTGCCTTTCAGATGCCCTTACCAGGATGATCGTTACCTGACCACATTGGTTCCAGTGACTGGATCGTCTGGTCTTCAGTTCCCAACCCACTACAAGCGCTTTATTGTGAAGATGTTCACATTTGTTGATCCATCATCACTGGCTCCTCTGCAGGAAACCGTATGCTCCGCAGCCTTACCTCAATCCTTAATATTAGTACTTTTTATAGTGAATTCTATGGCTAAACCCTTTCCCCCTCTGTTAGATCTTCATCCACTGTAGTACAGCAGTGTGCCATCCCTCTTCTGGCTCCTGTGAGCAAAGCTGCACTAGGAAAAGTGAGTGCTTGCTGTAAACCGACTTGGGAACTGTGAGAATTTGGTATTTAAATGCTCCTCATGCTTCTACCACTTCTTTTACAGGAAGGGACACTCCCATCAAGACCATCTCTAGTGGGCAAACTGTGGTGTCTAGTGGAGAAGTTAACCTGGTCATGTGAATTTAGATTTAATAAACTGGTATTGATTTTCAACAAATCGGATCTTACATGACTGTTCTTGGTTTTATTTATTGGGCCACACTACTAAACCAAAGTTCCATTTTTGCTTTAGCAAGGTTGTACTTGCCATGCTCCAGTTGCAAACCTGGGTTCCTCAATATTTTATATAGCAGGGTGCAGACTTTTTTCCTCGCAGTTTGTTTTGCCAAGGAATAAAATATAACAGTAATTGTGACTTATTTCACATTTCTTACTTATTTTTCACAATTGTGAGTTTCTTGGTATTGTGAGTTACAGTATTTCTGGCAAATAAACCCTGCATATGAGTTGACGTTCTCTTGATTTGTGTTCATGAAAGTGCAATAATTCTGACAAAACAAGAAGTTTCTCAAATGAGTAAAATCATGATTATCAGTTTAACCATCATTGTGCAGCCCTACTGGTTGTGTGAAGGGCTTTTAAATCCCTTTATTGCATTAATATAATCCATTTCCAGATGTCTTGTGACGCTGATGAGCTCAATTGGCCCATGCGGAGCTGGAATGGAGAGCTTGAGCTGGCTGTTGTCACCGAGAGCTTCGCTCTAATGATAGATGTTCGTGTGCATCTCCAGACCACAGTGAACATAGTCAGGGAAGTGAGTCCCAATCTCAGTCACAAACTCAATGCTGGCAGACAGTGGCAAAGCATTGATAAAAATCAGAAATGTTTGAGCCGCAAATTTGAATGATTTCTAAAGGATCTTGTGACACTGACAATTTGATTAATTTGTTGCTATAGGAGAGGAAGAATTTTGCAAACTCGTTAAACCATCTAAATTGGCAACTTGTATGTTAGACCCTATACCGACTAAGCTACTGAAAGAGATGCTTCCAGATGTCATAGATCCTCTTCTTAATATCATTAATTCATCTTTGTCTCTAGGATACGTACCAAAAACCTTTAAGCTGGCTATGATTAAACCGCTTGTTAAAAAAACGCAACTTGATCATACAATTAGTCAATTACAGGCCGATCTCGAATCTGCCTTTTCTGTCAAAGATATTAGAAAAAGCAGTATCCTCACAACTGTGTTCCTTTCTTGAAAGAAATGATATCTGCGAGGATTTTCAGTCCGGATTTAGACCGTACCATAGTACCGAGACAGCTCTCATTAGAGTCACAAATGATTTGCTCTTATCATCCGATCGTGGTTGTATCTCTCTAGTAGTGTTACTTGATCTTAGTGCTGCATTTGACACCATTGACCACAACATTCTTTTAAATAGACTGGAAAACTATGTTGGCATTAGTGGAATTCCACTAGCATGGTTTAAATCTACTTATCTGACCGTTATCAGTTTGTAGCAGTAAATGAAGAGATGTCTTATCGATCACAATTTCAGTATGGTGTACCACAAGGCTCAGTACTAGGACCGCTGCTGTTCACTCTGTACATGCTACCATTAGGAGATATCATTAGGAAACATGGAATTAGTTTTCACTGTTATTTACATTTATTCATTTAGCTGACACTTTTATCCAAAGCGACTTACAATTGCTATATATGTCAGAGGTTGCACGCCTCTGGAGCAACTAGGGGTTAAGTGTCTTGCTCAGGGACACATTGGTGTCACACAGTGGATTCGAACCCGGGTCTTTCACACCAAAGGCATGTGTCTTATCCACTGCGCCATCACCACCCCATGTTATGCTGATGATACTCAGCTGTATATTTCTTCGTGCCCCGACGAAACGCACCAATTCACAAAATTAACGGAATGCGTTTGCTGACATAAAAAATTGGATGACTAGTAATTTCCTACTACTAAATTCTGAAAAAACATAGATTCTAATTATTGGCCAAAAAACTTCCTCACGTAATAACCTAGAATACTGTCTAACACTTGATGGCTGCTCTGTGAAGTCCTCGTCGTCAGTTAGGAACCTGGGTGTGCTCTTTGATACCAACCTTTCATTTAAAAGTCACGTTTCTAGTATCTGTAAAACCGCATTCTTCCATCTTAAAAATATATCTAAATTACGCCATATGCTTTCAATGAAAAATGCGGAACAATTAGTTAATGCTTTCATGACCTCAAGGCTAGATTACTGTAATGCTCTACTGGGTGGTTGCCCTGCACGCTTAATAAACAAACTACAGCTGGTTCAAAACGCTGCAGCTCGAGTTCTTACCAGAACCAGGAAGTATGACCATATTAGTCTGGTTCAATAAACACTGCATTGGCTCCCTATTAAACATTGTATACATTTATAAATATTGCTGATTACTTACAAAGCACTAAATGGTTTAGCTCTGCAGTACTTGAGCGAGCTCTTAACGCATTATAGTCCTTCACGTCTAGTGCGATCTCAAAATTCCGGCCAGTTGATAATACCTAGAATATCAAAATCGACTGCTGGCGGTAGATCCTTTTCCTATTTAGCACCAAAACTTTGGAACAGTCTTCCTACCATTGTCCGGGAAGCAGACACACTCTGTCAGTTCAAAGCTAGACTAAAAACACATCTCTTTGACCTAGCATTCACATAATACATTATCGACTTCTATAATTCAATGTTAGGCTGCATAGATTAGGTCAGCTGGAACTGGGAACACTTCCCTTAAATCCTGATGTACTCGTTACATCATAAGAAGAATGGCATCTACGCTAATTTCAGTGTCTTTGTTTATCCCGAGGTTTTCCCGCAGCCTGCCGGATCCAGGCCTTTTCCAGATCTGACGAAGGACCTTCGCCTGGACCCGATGACAACGCAGTGCTGAAATGTCAACTATCCTCTCCCTATGGAGGATTCCTATTCCACTCTACAGATAAAGCGTTGTGGAAATTAGGGTTCACGTACCAACCCCGAAGTGATAAAATAAAATAAAATAAAATTCTGTATCAAAATTTATAGGCAAGACAAGTAGTTTGTTTAGGTATGGTTTGTAGGGAATTACAAACCTGCGCACATATATTCAAACACACATAACAGAATCAATTCTTAATGCGCATGTGAACGCCATCAGCGTTTATCACAGGTTCCAATTGATAAAAAAACATATAAACACTTGATAATCTTGTTAGATGATTAGATAATTACATTTGAAAGATTTTACTTTCAATAAAACATTTGCAATAGATTTGTAAAAGGGGTTTTTATGCATGTTTGGCCCGGGTTTTTGTTGCATTTACACTGTTCTGACATCTAGGGGTCACCATGGAGACAGGTGTCGGATTGTTTCGAAGCCTCGACACAATACGGCACATTTGCTTCAACTTTTTCAGTGTTTCATGAAGCCTCGATCTGCCCACCACTACCATTACATTCACAGGATGAAGCATAAAACAAAGGCTGAATTCTGAACGGCAGAAATAGTACTAGTAAACTATTCTGAAATAAGCTCAATATGTGCATTCTATGTATGTTCCAAAAGGGTGGAAAAACAAGGGCAATTGAATCTTAAGAACAAATGGAAACACCCAGTTGCATAAACTCCACACTCATGCAAGTCTGGAGAATCATGACTGTTAATGAAAAGGGAGGGATTATCGTTAATTAGCCAAAATCTGTAGAGTACAAAAAGACCAAAGGGCAGCATCTCAACAGTGTGACTAGCTGTTGAACAATGGCAGGAAGTTGGTGTGTTGTTCAGTCTCTGGCACTTTGTGTTTGGTTCTGTGCTTTCTGCCATGCCGTTCCAAAGTGGAGTAATCTGCCCCAAAGTCCTCAAGCTCTGATGTTCCAGCAAACTGACCAGCGGTTTCCTCAGTCAGTTCAATGGCAAGCTAGTCAACAGTTTTCTAAGCCAGTTCAACATCAAGCTAGTCAACAGTTTCCTCAGTCAGTTCAACGGCAAGCTAATCAACAGTATCCTAAGCCAGTTCAACAGCAAGCTAGTCAACAGTTTTCTAAGCCAGTTCAACAGCAAGCTAGTCAGCAGTATCCTCAGTCAGTTCAACAAGCTAGTCAACAGTTTTCTAAGCCAGTTCAACAGCAAGCTAGTCAGCAGTATCCTCAGTCAGTTCAACAAGCTAGTCAACAGTATCCTCAGTCAGTTCAACAGCAAGCTAGTCAACAGTTTCCTCAGTCAGTTCAACAAGCTAGTCAACAGTATCCTCAGTCAGTTCAACAGCAAGCTGGTCAACAGCAAGCTAGTCAACAGTATCCTCAGCAGTTTCAGCCTAAACAGCCAGTGGCACAGGCAGAGCCCCTTGACAAATGTGCTGTAGCTGATTATGAGCAGATCCAATGTGGACCACCTGGTATCAGTGGTGCTGAGTGTGCAGCTATTAACTGCTGCTTTAACGGACAGCAGTGTTACTATGGGAAGGCCGGTAAGAGTGTTGAGTCAATGTAAAGGTGTTTCTTGTTAAACTGATCCTCATCAATAACCAGCTCTTGTACCTTGTTCCAGTCACTGTCCAGTGTATAAGAGATGGTCAGTTTGTGGTAGTGGTGGCTAGAGATGTCACGCTGCCTCGTTTGAGCCTGGATTCAGTCCGTCTCCTGGGTGGAAATGATCCAGCTTGCAGTCCTGTGGGATCCACACCTTTCTTTGCTATATACCAGTTCCCTGTCACTGCGTGCGGCACGAGCATGACAGTGAGTAGCTGCTTGTGGTTTTGTTCTGCATGGCTTAGAATGGACTGGATGCCAACAGTGTTACTATTTGCAGGAGGACAGTGGATATGTGGTGTATGAAAACAGAATGTCCTCCTCGTATGAAGTGGGTATCGGACCACTTGGTTCCATCACAAGGGACAGCCATTTTGAGTGGGTGATGTATTCTTTAGCACATTTGTTAATCCTTGGCAAATGCTACAAGCTCACTGTTTGTTTTCCAGGCTTCTCTTCCAGTGTAGGTACTCTGGTACTTCTGTGGAAGCTCTGGTTGTGGAGGTCAACACTGTTCCTCCACCTCCACCAGTAGCTGCTCCTGGACCCCTCAGGGTGGAGCTTAGACTAGCAAATGGTCAGTGTGTCACCAAAGGCTGTGCAGAAGGTAAGTGTTTGACCCAAGTGTGTGCCTAAAGCCTTTCTAAAGCTCCAGGTTGCAGCGGTTTCTGGTTAAACACTATTCTTCCTCAGGGGACGAGGCGTACACTTCCTACTACAGTGATGCTGATTATCCTGTTACAAAAGTCCTGCGGGAGCCTGTGTATGTTGAGGTGCACGTTTTGGAGAGGACCGACCCCAACATTGTCCTGATGCTGGGACATTGCTGGGCGACATCAACCCCCAGTCCACTCAGTCTACCCCAATGGGACCTTCTGGTTGATGGGTGAGTAAGGCCAGTCTTTATCCATCTAGTGTGCTGTAAGGTGTTTCTGATTCCCTCTTTGCCTTTCAGATGCCCTTACCAGGATGATCGTTACCTGACCACATTGGTTCCAGTGACTGGATCGTCTGGTCTTCAGTTCCCAACCCACTACAAGCGCTTTATTGTGAAGATGTTCACATTTGTTGATCCATCATCACTGGCTCCTCTGCAGGAAACCGTATGCTCCGCAGCCTTACCTCAATCCTTAATATTAGTACTTTTTATAGTGAATTCTATGGCTAAACCCTTTCCCCCTCTGTTAGATCTTCATCCACTGTAGTACAGCAGTGTGCCATCCCTCTTCTGGCTCCTGTGAGCAAAGCTGCACTAGGAAAAGTGAGTGCTTGCTGTAAACCGACTTGGGAACTGTGAGAATTTGGTATTTAAATGCTCCTCATGCTTCTACCACTTCTTTTTACAGGAAGGGACACTCCCATCAAGACCATCTCTAGTGGGCAAACTGTGGTGTCTAGTGGAGAAGTTAACCTGGTCATGTGAATTTAGATTTAATAAACTGGTATTGATTTTCAACAAATCGGATCTTACATGACTGTTCTTGGTTTTATTTATTGGGCCACACTACTAAACCAAAGTTACATTTTTGCTTTAGCAAGGTTGTACTTGCCATGCTCCAGTTGCAAACCTGGGTTCCTCAATATTTTATATAGCAGGGTGCAGACTTTTTTCCTCGCAGTTTGTTTTGCCAAGGAATAAAATATAACAGTAATTGTGACTTATTTCACATTTCTTACTTATTTTTCACAATTGTGAGTTTCTTGGTATTGTGAGTTACAGTATTTCTGGCAAATAAACCCTGCATATGAGTTGACGTTCTCTTGATTTGTGTTCATGAAAGTGCAATAATTCTGACAAAACAAGAAGTTTCTCAAATGAGTAAAATCATGATTATCAGTTTAACCATCATTGTGCAGCCCTACTGGTTGTGTGAAGGGCTTTTAAATCCCTTTATTGCATTAATATAATCCATTTCCAGATGTCTTGTGACGCTGATGAGCTCAATTGGCCCATGCGGAGCTGGAATGGAGAGCTTGAGCTGGCTGTTGTCACCGAGAGCTTCGCTCTAATGATAGATGTTCGTGTGCATCTCCAGACCACAGTGAACATAGTCAGGGAAGTGAGTCCCAATCTCAGTCACAAACTCAATGCTGGCAGACAGTGGCAAAGCATTGATAAAAATCAGAAATGTTTGAGCCGCAAATTTGAATGATTTCTAAAGGATCTTGTGACACTGACAATTTGATTAATTTGTTGCTATAGGAGAGGAAGAATTTTGCAAACTCGTTAAACCATCTAAATTGGCAACTTGTATGTTAGACCCTATACCGACTAAGCTACTGAAAGAGATGCTTCCAGATGTCATAGATCCTCTTCTTAATATCATTAATTCATCTTTGTCTCTAGGATACGTACCAAAAACCTTTAAGCTGGCTATGATTAAACCGCTTGTTAAAAAAACGCAACTTGATCATACAATTAGTCAATTACAGGCCGATCTCGAATCTGCCTTTTCTGTCAAAGATATTAGAAAAAGCAGTATCCTCACAACTGTGTTCCTTTCTTGAAAGAAATGATATCTGCGAGGATTTTCAGTCCGGATTTAGACCGTACCATAGTACCGAGACAGCTCTCATTAGAGTCACAAATGATTTGCTCTTATCATCCGATCGTGGTTGTATCTCTCTAGTAGTGTTACTTGATCTTAGTGCTGCATTTGACACCATTGACCACAACATTCTTTTAAATAGACTGGAAAACTATGTTGGCATTAGTGGAATTCCACTAGCATGGTTTAAATCTACTTATCTGACCGTTATCAGTTTGTAGCAGTAAATGAAGAGATGTCTTATCGATCACAATTTCAGTATGGCGTACCACAAGGCTCAGTACTAGGACCGCTGCTGTTCACTCTGTACATGCTACCATTAGGAGATATCATTAGGAAACATGGAATTAGTTTTCACTGTTATTTACATTTATTCATTTAGCTGACACTTTTATCCAAAGCGACTTACAATTGCTATATATGTCAGAGGTTGCACGCCTCTGGAGCAACTAGGGGTTAAGTGTCTTGCTCAGGGACACATTGGTGTCACACAGTGGATTCGAACCCGGGTCTTTCACACCAAAGGCATGTGTCTTATCCACTGCGCCATCACCACCCCATGTTATGCTGATGATACTCAGCTGTATATTTCTTCGTGCCCCGACGAAACGCACCAATTCACAAAATTAACGGAATGCGTTTGCTGACATAAAAAATTGGATGACTAGTAATTTCCTACTACTAAATTCTGAAAAAACATAGATTCTAATTATTGGCCAAAAAACTTCCTCACGTAATAACCTAGAATACTGTCTAACACTTGATGGCTGCTCTGTGAAGTCCTCGTCGTCAGTTAGGAACCTGGGTGTGCTCTTTGATACCAACCTTTCATTTAAAAGTCACGTTTCTAGTATCTGTAAAACCGCATTCTTCCATCTTAAAAATATATCTAAATTACGCCATATGCTTTCAATGAAAAATGCGGAACAATTAGTTAATGCTTTCATGACCTCAAGGCTAGATTACTGTAATGCTCTACTGGGTGGTTGCCCTGCACGCTTAATAAACAAACTACAGCTGGTTCAAAACGCTGCAGCTCGAGTTCTTACCAGAACCAGGAAGTATGACCATATTAGTCTGGTTCAATAAACACTGCATTGGCTCCCTATTAAACATTGTATACATTTATAAATATTGCTGATTACTTACAAAGCACTAAATGGTTTAGCTCTGCAGTACTTGAGCGAGCTCTTAACGCATTATAGTCCTTCACGTCTAGTGCGATCTCAAAATTCCGGCCAGTTGATAATACCTAGAATATCAAAATCGACTGCTGGCGGTAGATCCTTTTCCTATTTAGCACCAAAACTTTGGAACAGTCTTCCTACCATTGTCCGGGAAGCAGACACACTCTGTCAGTTCAAAGCTAGACTAAAAACACATCTCTTTGACCTAGCATTCACATAATACATTATCGACTTCTATAATTCAATGTTAGGCTGCATAGATTAGGTCAGCTGGAACTGGGAACACTTCCCTTAAATCCTGATGTACTCGTTACATCATAAGAAGAATGGCATCTACGCTAATTTCAGTGTCTTTGTTTATCCCGAGGTTTTCCCGCAGCCTGCCGGATCCAGGCCTTTTCCAGATCTGACAAAGGACCTTCGCCTGGACCCGATGACAACGCAGTGCTGAAATGTCAACTATCCTCTCCCTATGGAGGATTCCTATTCCACTCTACAGATAAAGCGTTGTGGAAATTAGGGTTCACGTACCAACCCCGAAGTGATAAAATAAAATAAAATAAAATTCTGTATCAAAATTTATAGGCAAGACAAGTAGTTTGTTTAGGTATGGTTTGTAGGGAATTACAAACCTGCGCACATATATTCAAACACACATAACAGAATCAATTCTTAATGCGCATGTGAACGCCATCAGCGTTTATCACAGGTTCCAATTGATAAAAAAACATATAAACACTTGATAATCTTGTTAGATGATTAGATAATTACATTTGAAAGATTTTACTTTCAATAAAACATTTGCAATAGATTTGTAAAAGGGGTTTTTATGCATGTTTGGCCCGGGTTTTTGTTGCATTTACACTGTTCTGACATCTAGGGGTCACCATGGAGACAGGTGTCGGATTGTTTCGAAGCCTCGACACAATACGGCACATTTGCTTCAACTTTTTCAGTGTTTCATGAAGCCTCGATCTGCCCACCACTACCATTACATTCACAGGATGAAGCATAAAACAAAGGCTGAATTCTGAACGGCAGAAATAGTACTAGTAAACTATTCTGAAATAAGCTCAATATGTGCATTCTATGTATGTTCCAAAAGGGTGGAAAAACAAGGGCAATTGAATCTTAAGAACAAATGGAAACACCCAGTTGCATAAACTCCACACTCATGCAAGTCTGGAGAATCATGACTGTTAATGAAAAGGGAGGGATTATCGTTAATTAGCCAAAATCTGTAGAGT